ATTAGAAGAATCGTTGGTACAGGAGAAGGCAAAGCGATTGCGAGTGGATGAAAAAGCCCGAGAAGCTCTCGAGAAAGCTGAGAAGAAAGGGGCCTTCTACAAGAAAAAATTTATTCAATTGGCCAAAAAAGTGATTAAAAATGGGAAAAAAGGTAGAGGCCCTGCTAAGAAGAAGTTTAATGACTATTCTAAGCACCATCAAAAGAGAATTAAAAACCAACTGAAGGACGAGTGCCAAACTACACTCTCTTTTCTTGGGCTGTACAATTTTGTTGCAACCAAAATTGAAGTCCTTAACACTGAGACTAATCAATATGAAACTTTCAATCTTGTTGGAGAGGGAGAGCTACCATTTACAGAGTCTGACCCAAAGGCCCTTGATGATGATGACATTGATAACATAAATATGTGGCTCTACCTCAAAGACAAATATTTCAAATGAGGCCTGGCATGAAATTGCCATCAAGGCTAATGGTCTCCCCAATACATATTCCATCAAGAAGCGAATTAATGAGCTAAACAGTAAATGGAACTTGAAACCAACACCAGGAGATGCTGAAGGTGTTCAGTTAGGATTTTCAGAAAGTTTGCAAGAGCACATTGTTAGGCTTCAGAAGAATGGAGAAATCAATGATGGAGAAGCTATTAAGATCAAGCTTAGCGGTGATGGTACAAATATTGGAAAGCGGCTTACAGTTGTCAACTTCACATTTACTATTCTCAATGAAAAGGATGTGGCAATGGCTGAGAAGGGAAATTATGTACTTGCTGTTATAAAAACTACAGAGACATATCATAATCTGAGAGACAGCCTAGCAGACCTTCAAATGGAAATGTCAAACTTAAAGGAGATAAGTGCAAATAATTGCACCTATAAAATTGAATACTTTTTAGGTGGAGATTTGAAATTTTTAGCACTGGTATGTGGTTTAGGCAGGGCAAATGAGGATTATGCTTGTGTGTGGTGCAAGTGTCCCAGGGAGCAACGGTGGGACACAAGCAAAACATGGTCAATTAATGACCCCAAATTTGGTACTAGAACTGTTGCCGAAATAGCAAGGTTTTCCACTGAAAAGAAATTCAACTGTAAGGCACAACCATTATTTGATTTTATACCTATGGACCATGTCATCATAGATACATTACATCTTTTTCTGAGGATTTCAGATGTTTTGATTGACTTGTTCATAAGAGAGCTGAGAAGAAGTGCTGCTATTGAGAAAAAAAAACCTTCTCTGATGGATTCCTAAGAGATAAATATAAACACATGGCCTGTTACGAAGAATATATCACAAGTATGGGAATCACTTTTAATTTTAGAATCAACAAAGAGAGCAAAAAGCTGGAATACAGAGATGTTACTGGACCAGAAAAGTTGAAACTCTTTCAGAATATAAACATTCCTATGCTTCTCCCTCATTGCAGTCACAACAAAGACATACAAGTGATCTGGGCTAAATTTATGGACATAATTGGTGATTTGAAGCTAGATTTTACATCTGAAGAGGGTATTCTTGAACTGCAAAGAAATATCAAATCATGGTTTGAGCACTTTCTCAAAGTTTACTAAGCAAAAGATGTCACTCCCTACATGCATGCACTATGTTGTCATGTTCCTGAGTTCCTGTCACTTTATCAGAACATAGCATATTACACACAGCAATGCTTGGAAAAATACAATGATAGAGCTTCTAAAGATTTCTTCAGATCTACAAATCACAAAGGGGTTGATGCCCTCAAACAACTGTTTCTGAAGAAAAACAGGATTCAGTTCCTGGAGGCAGCAGGCTATGAAAGGGTTAAGAACACCTACAAATGCAATAACTGTTCAAACAAAGGCCACAACATCAAGACATGCACATCTTCATGCAAAAATTTTCCAGCTCCAATTTGCTGTGCACAACTTGTGAAGGAAGGTGGCAAATGGATTCCCAGATGCCAGCTTCAATATTAACCAGAGTTAGTTTAGTTTTAGTAAGTTTCGTTAGTTTTATGTAATAAAATATGTCATTTGGTTTTTGAGGAAGGATTTCCTGACCTGATCTTGCCTTAGTTTGATCATAATGTTACTCAGGATCAAAACATTTAATACTTCTAGTACCCTTAAATATCACCTTTAATTTCTTTGCCAAAATAGGTCATTTTACAGTTTATTCAGTAACCTGGCCCATGAATTAACTGGCCTGTATTAAAACAAGAAAAGCAAAGGGGTTTGTATCAAAATAAGGTCACCAGCAACCTCGCTTCCAGCCATAAGCCAGGTGACTCAGCCACAAATGTAAAATAATATTGGAACTTTTGATTGTGAATTTCAAGTTTTTGGCCAAGATGCTATACAGTGTTTTAACAATGGATTGTTATTTCATCTGTTGGCATGGTAGTTGTTCCTGTTACCATCACCTCTCACAAACTGAAATGTAATAAAGTTGCTGTTTTCAACTTCTGTTCTAGCATATTGTTCCCCGATGAGCTTGTATTCAATGATTGGACTTCTTTGTCCCAGCCAATACTTAATAGTTCCTGGAATTACATAGGCAAAATTTCCCGCTAGATTTAAAATTCGTTCATCCCACTTCAGCCCCAGATATGAATCAAGCACCCTATTTAACTCCAATTGGTAAACCATCTTCCCTCTTTGAAGAACGCCGGGCAAAACACTCCCAAGACCTTCCATGAAAACATCTTGGTCAACATTAAGGTCTATGTTTATATCAGGGTCCTCTCGGCGTCCAGACCAAAGCTTTTTCTTTATTTCACGAGCAAGTTGGCCATGGAACGATTCTTTTCTATCCTCTAGAGAGCTTTCCGATGGAATGAACAGCTTTTCGCTGCGAACAAACAGAAAATATCCTGATCCTTCATCGGCCCCGAAGGGTCTCCATTCATCGAAGCATGTGCTATAGCCAACGTAATGAATTTTCAACCTCTTGTTGATTTTGTCAACCTCCCTGATCTCAATATCACACAGTTTTGTATCTTTCTTTCGTGGATTCGCCTTTCTAACGGGGGTGTATGTTGCGTATTCATTGAAAAATCGCTTTGCTTTTTTTATTTCCCTCTTTGGTCTGTCCGCCAATTTGAAAATTCGCAACGGAGAGCATACGTATTACGTGGGGTTAGTGGTCGCGTACAACTGGAACCGAGAAAAACAAATGTTCGTCGCGCTGGGGAAAGAGTTTGATATGAGTAGATGGATATGGTTGGGTATGGATCTTTCTCTCCCAGCTTTAATTTGTTCCGATCCCAATGCCCCATCCCAGTTTTAACATTCCTATTGTCTATTTTTCCTGTCTAAAAATTATAAATCCAGTGTCGATTTGACAGAAATCGTTAATATGTGAATTACTAACTAGTAGTAATCAAAGATTAATAAGTGCGTTAGAAGTTCAATGAATTTAGCTAAAATCATACAAAAACAGAGGAGGAAATTAGTTGAGAGATTAAATGAGAAAGACGAAGTATTTAAAGAGCAACATGAACAATAGCAACTTTAATAGTGAAACCCAAATATGTAACCAAAGATGTTTATCTACTTAGTTACAATGTAGTTTAGATACTGATTGTGGGAGACTAACTTTTGTAACAGTAACATGAATGATAGTAACTTGAATAGTTACAAGGGATTGGTTAGTTGCAAGGGAAAATGTAACAAAACATGTTAGTCTACTCAGTATCTTGAAAAACTGAAAATGATAGAGTAGATTTTATAACAACAACATGAGGCTATGATGAAGTTCAAAATGCTATGAAAATTAGATTTTTCCATGTCTAAACGTTTCGTGTCTGTGTGTCATAGCATTGTTTAACAATTTTTCTTAACTTAACAGTAACCTGGATGATACTAACTCGATTAGTCACAAGGTAAAATGCAATAATTAAAACATGTCAATCTACTCATTTACAATGTAGTTCAGATACTAAATGAGTGAGACTAATTTTTGTAACGGTAACATGAATAATAGTAAATTGAATAGTTTCAAGAAAGTTATGAAGTTGGTAATGCTATGAAACTTTTTGCAATGTTTAAAGTTCTGGTGTTTGCATGTCATACCATAGTTTAGCAAAAAAATTTTATTAGTAACATGAATAGTAACTTGAATAGTTGCATGGGATTGGTTAGTTGCAAGAGAAAATGTAAAAAAACATGTCAATCTACTTAGTATCTTGAAAAACTGAAAGAGATAGACTGAATTTTATAACAACAACTGGAACATGAAGCTGTGATGAAGTTCAAAATGCTATGAAACTTAGATTTTTTTCCATGTCTAAATATTTCGTGTTTGTGTGTCATAGCATTGTTTAACTATTTTTCTTATCTTAACAGTAACCAGGGCCGGGTTGTTCAAAGCGCGATTAAGCAAACCCAGGGTTAGCGTCAATTTTTATTCCAGCTAAATTAATAACCAAAAGAGATTTTCTTAAGGATTCTTGCTCTTTAGTTTTATTTTTCGATTTGACTTCATGTGCAGCTTATAATTAGCTTTTGAAATCTTTTTAAACAAAAGAGATTAAATCTTTGATTAAGCTTTAATCGTGGGTTAGCAGTAATCGTCTTTTGAACAACTGAGCCCTGGATGATACTAACTCGATTAGTCACAAGGTAAAATGCAATAATTAAAACATGAGAATCTACTCATTTACAATGTAGTTTAGATACTAAATGAGCGAGACTAATTTTTCTAACAGTAACATGAATAATAGTAAATGGAATAGTTTCAAGAAAGTTTAATATGAAATTCAAAAATTAAGTGCTATAAAAGTTTTTGCGATATCTAAAAGTTTAAGTGTTTGTATCTCATAGCATGAATTATTAGTAACTTAAATAGTTACTAGAGATTGGTTTGTTACAAAGGAAAATGCAACAAAACATGTTAAATGGCAATTTTTTCAATGTCCACAAGTTTTCGCGTTTGCGTGTCAAAGCATACTTTAACTGTGTCTAGGTTTAAGACAGCCTCTGTGATTTCCTCCTCTGTTGTTTCATTTGCAATTAAGTGACAAATTGAAAACAACTTTGGCACTGCTTCTTGATAAACCTGTAGCTGAAGCTTCTGCAGTGGTTGTTTGGAGTTTTGGATATGGATCTTGAGTGTCCACTTTACACTGCAGCTGGTTGCCTTTTGTGTTACTTTGCAGTTATCGCAGACTGCAATTTTTCCCTTGATTGTAACTTTTTTTGAACATGAACAAAAACAGTTGTATTTGGTGACACTGCTTATTCCTAGTATTTCTCCAATGGTTTCTGTTGTTGTTGAGATGTCACTGACTTCAGGTAATGTTTGTTTGAAGGGTTCAGCGTCCTTGATGGTGTATAAATTATCTTGTTTTGGTGTGTTCAAGTATCTTTGATTCTGAGATACTTTCATTCTCAAGTTGTTGAAGAAATAGGTGGACTGTGGTGTGACGCTGTCAACATGCTCACCCCAGAAAATAACTTTTATGTAACCACATGGATCAACTATATAGCCTTCCTGTTTTTTGACAGGAGAATCTTGGATGACTATAGTTTTGGTCGCACTTAGATGTGATATCTTTCCTTTTATTGACACTAGCTGTTGTGGTGCTACTTTTGACAAGGATGCAATTGATGTGACATCATCTTGTGCTTTGTATGGAAAATCAGCTGTTGTTGAAGTGATGGTTGTGTTCCTGTTTGTTACTACATCACTTCGTCCATACTTATTGCTGATGTTAAAATTTGAAATTTTAACCGGTGATCTTTGTGCGGCCATTGCATCAAGAGTTTCCTTCTTTTCAGTTGCAAAGCATACACTGCCAATGAGATCTTTCTCTGTCTGAAGGTGGCAGTTAAAGTAGCTTGTTGGTCCAGATTTTTTTACTGGTGAGACATTATGCACAAAGCAAGTTATGTCTTGTTTTTCTGTAGGAGGAGGTAAAAAGATATTTAGATTAATGTAATAAATTTGGCATGGATGGGATTACTGCATAAGGTAGCTTGTGTTATTTGAAAAAAACATATGTGTAAATATTAGTCTCCTTGTTTCATGTACTGTAAATCCTCTATTAAGCCCACAGGGGGCTTATTGTTTTAAGGCGCATTGGGGGGAGCTAAATAGAAAGGAAGGGCTTAATAGAAGGGGAAGTGTTAAAATTTAGCAAAACAGGAGCAGTTCACCACTCATTAATTACTGTAATTAAGATTATTTTTAGTACAAATAACAGTGATATTTTGGCCAAAGTTCGCCACCAACATGCAAGAGGTGTGGGAAAAATAAATTGTATCATATAACTACATGAGAACATTAAAGGGTGACAAAAGTGATAGGAAACAGTGTACATCTAATACCTAGATGTTCAAAATAATATGTTTTATTAATGAGAGCATATAGAGCAGGTAAGGTTATAAAATGATTTTAAAACAAGAAGCATTAGTTTAATAGAAGAAAGGAACGTATAACCATAATATTTAAGTATGACCGGGAGATACATACCTGAAGCCATATTAGATCTCTGTCTTGTCTGTTGAAAAAAAAAAAATAATAAGGATGTATACAGATGTTTTAGGAGGGTGTTTAAAATACCTTTAAACTCTAGTTAATACAACACTCTGAAACATTACATGGAACTTTGCTTTAAATGTAGTTGGAAAGTGAACTATTGATAACCATAAAAAAAATCATTTATGTATGCATGTGTTGAAGGCCGTATAATCAATTTATTCTAATTAATCAATTTTGGGTGCTGTACTGTTGTGAGTGACTTTGTTCGCATCACTCAACTTGGGATCAATTTATATTTGCTAGATTATATAGCCTGCTTTCTTCTTCAAGTCTATATTTTAAATTAGTGGATTTCTTAAGACTCTTAAGTCTTTCAAAAGTCATTGGTTCAATAATACAAGATGAAAGTGTTTTCACTCTGCTTATAGCTACACATGAAATGCCTGCAGTAGTTTCAGTCTGACCAATGTCAATCCATGCTTTTGGCAGTGTTAACCCTTGGCTCTTGTGTATTGTGATTGCCCAAGCAAGTTTGAGAGGCAACTGTTGTCTCTCATGTAAACCATCTAGTGTCTGTGAGGTTATTGTTATTGGGCATATAGGCACACATCGTGGAATGCTATCACTGATAGATGGACCTCTATACTCATTAAATTTTACTATGACAGCGACAGGCAAGTCTGGTGGTTGCTGGTTGTTTGCATAAATGAAATCTTCAACCGTTCCAGTTGCACCGTTACAAAGTCCAACATCTATCCATAGGTTCATGGTAAGCATTACATGTGCACCTTTTGCAAGGAAAATGGTCGGTTGTAAACCTGACATGTCATCTGAACTTGCTTTCTTAGCTATATCACTAGAGTGACGTGCAGTGATGCAGGCTATTGGCTGATGAAGTTCTGATAACTGTTCAAAGTTATAATTAGCAACTTCTTCATTTTGCTGAAATAGAGCCTAGTGGCATCTTGAAACTCATTCACGTTCAATGCTATGGAAGGCTGTCTTGCCAAAAGAAGTTTCCAATCTTGCTCATTAGAATCTCCTGTGCGAAGGCGTATGAGTAAATCTCTAAACTGAGCTTGCTGTTGATTTAAGCCTTGAACCCTCTGGTTTACTGACAGTTTTACAACATTGCCAAACATGTGATAAGCTAAATAGCCTTGTTCACCTGTAGAACTGGAGGGTCTCGAATGATATAATGGCTTATCTGCCACTGGAGGCAATTGAGCTGGGTCACCAACTAATATCATGGATTTACCACCAAATACTTCGTCATTTTTGCCTGTTGCTTGTCGGCAGCGTCTATCAATCCAGCCAAACAATGTTTGTCCTAGCATAGAGTATTCATCAATTAGGATATAACTGATATCTTTCAGCTTGGTTTGTAATGTGACAAGCCCTTGTCCTGTTAATTCTTTGTTATGTCTTGGGCCAACAAGCAATTTTAATAGTGAATGGATTGTACATCCGTTTATGTTAAATGAAGCTTTGCCAGTTGTGGCAGTCACTGCACAAGAGTGTTGGAGCAGGTTTCGGATGGCATTAATGAGGTAACTTTTCCCTGTACCGGCAACTCCAAGTATAATAAGAAGCAATGGATCTTTAGGGCAGGCTTGTTCAGAATGTGCTTTCACCATATTGTAGGCATGTCTTTGCATGTCACTGAATGTATTAACATCAATATTTTGTTGTTGCAAACCAAAGGTAGAATCCAAAGTATCTTTCTTAGTTTTTATCCAGGATGGCATTTCCTGTATTAAGTGATTTGCATACTTAATCTTGTCATTTTGCCAGTCATAATCAGGCTGAGAGGTTTGTTGTGTTATATTATCTTGGTTAACAAAATACCCAGGTATGAGATCTGCTAAATCCATCCACTCTTCACGCTGTGGAAGCTCTTCTGAAGAGTGCTCTATATTTGGTTCCTCTTCTGTGTTATTCTGTACACTTTGTAGTTTTTCATACCAGTCAGGAACATGCTCTTCAGCATATGGTGTTTGTAGAAATTCCTTCCATTTTGTGATGTATATTTCATCAGTGCCTTCCTGACAATCCCAGGCATTGTCTTGTGTAGTATGCCAAGGTTTGTGCTTAAGTAACTGATATTTGCAATAGAGTCCAAAATTTGGACCTTTTGAATTGGAAGAAAATACTGGAAAAACTCTGGGAATCATGTTATGAGGCTGAACTGTTAGTTTGTTGTTGACAAGTTTGTATTTTGTTGCAAAATGAATGAAATTAAGAGCCATTATATCTGGGATGGTTTGAATATATTTTTCCCTTTTAGCGTAAGTATCAAGCAATGAGTCATTGGTTACAGTATCTCCATCATTTGTTATAGTTTTGATTCTACGTGAACCATTTAGACTAATAGGTACCACATTAAATGATGAGCTGACAAGTTTCAGTGACATGAGATGATGCATAGTCTCTTGTGCAGAGAAGTCACGTTGGCCAAGTGACTTCATTATCACTTTTTTTATCAATTTTGTAGGGTTGCTATTGTTGTTGCAATTACGGACAATAGAATTAAATGCAAGTTTCATTACAGGTGACTTTGGTTCACCTTTTGAAGCATATTTTGCAAGGTATTCAACACATGCATGATAATCAATGATCACTTGAATATCACAGTTTGCCCTCCAGCCTTGAAGCTGAAGTCGTTGGTGATTATTGAGTCTGCTATCATTCCTCTTTGTTATGATCTTTGCTTTGTATTGAGTGCTTCGATCTTTTGTATGAATGGGCTCAAACTCTAGTTTTGTATTGACACAAGGTTCAAATGGAAACTTAAATCTACATTTCAGTTCTGTTTCGTTTTGTTTCTTTCTAAGACAATAGTTTGTACTACAGCGAGTGTGCCTTTGTACAGTATTCAACAAATCAACATAATCTTGTTCAGAGTCTTGTAAACTTACAAGGTCCTTGTGACGCTTTTGACAAGGATGAATAGAGGGCTTCACCCATGTGCCATTATCTGGTGGATCTGGATTATATGTAGACAATAACCAATCTACATACTGACAAACTACCTGGGAAGCCTTTTTCCCATCCACTATCTGTTGATTGAGTTCTAGTATATTGACTTGCTCAGCTGTATTAGTGGACATTTCAGCCAAATAGCCTTTTAGAGCTGTTTCTGAGAGTTTACATAAACCTGGATCATTTTTCAGCTTTGCTACACCATGACAATGTATACTACCTCTAGCTTGATATTCAAATCTGTACCAGTGCCACTCAGCATGTAGTGAATTGTATAACCAGTATTTAATAAAACTTTCTAAACGCTGTGTAAAGAACCAGTCTGTAATATGAGGATTGTTAATCACATTCTGCCGTTTGTTGTCAGTTGAATTATTACTGACTGAGTTGCCAAAAATTGCATGAAGTTCAGGCCAATGCATATCAGCAGAGGAGAATGTGAAAAAGAATGTTGGAGCTCCAGCATGGGCTATTATTGCTTTTAAATCTTCTTTAGCTTTGTGCCAATAAGCATTAGAACCAGTAATGTTACTAAGATAGCGTGATATCTTAGATATAAACATACTTGTGTTATTGCTAGTTGCCATTTGCCGCAGCTCCTCAGCAGTCAAATGAGCTTCTCCTGGGTTTTGTTTTAGGAACATGCCTGTCTGTTGCAGAATACGTTTTCTTTGTATCATATTCAATGCCCAGTAACCAAATCTGGGGTGAGTAGCAAAGCGATATACCCATTTGTCATTCTTGTTTTCTCCAAACTTTAAAAGGTGCTTTACTCTTTCTCCGAGTGGTATATCTCGGCGTAATGATGGGTTAGTAGGATCACCCTTACCATCTGGAAATAATGTTGGGAAAGCCATTGTTGCTAAATAGGGAGTTACATACTCGTTTAATGGTTCACTGCCAACTGTTGGCCAGGGCAAGTGATTAGAATCATTAGACAATTGTTGGCGCACAGCTTCTATTTCTTGCTGCTGACACTCTGGAATAGGCAGAAAACTACTCATTTCAGTACCCTCATTATAAACAATGTCATCTTCATTTTGAGGACCTAAGTCAGGTTCACATGTGGCATCCAAATCTATATTCTCTGTTTCAACCGAGAGAAGACCATGTGGAACACCATGTTCTGGTAAAGAATTTAAAGAATTTTGATTGATGGTTATGTCCTTGTAGTGTGAGTTATTATTAACAAGCCATTGTAGTGCATCAGCTACATTTTGCCTTCGCACTGTCACATCTTTAAAACTGTTCTCTTTACCTTTCATCTTAACAACAATAACAGATAGATCTTTTGGGTATCTAGGCAGAGAATGTGCTAGTTCAGCTATATCCTGAGGCAAATTGATACAGTGGCCTGAATAGCCCCTTTGTCCACCAGGTTTTATGTAAACTCGCATAACAGGAAGTGCACGTGCAATAAGCATTTCTTCTACTTG